GAAAATCCTGTCGAAATCCATCATTTCCTTCCAATGCTAATTCCGCAGTAATATTCCTTTAAACTGTAATTATTTATTTTTTACATGTGAAAATTTCGCGCTAGGAGCGGGGGATCTTGGACTTTACACTCTCTCCTTATTCCTTTGATCCATCTCTGAGCAGGGTCAAATATAGTTTTAATAAATTATGAATAAGCATTATAAATCACAGTTAATATGATCCCCTATTTTGCCCGCAAATAAATTGTTGATTTTTGTTTTCGTCTAATCCATGCAAAGTGATTTTTAACACCTTCCAACAAATTTTGTGTGAATATTTACATTAATTTTTGCTCCATTTTTCGTGTATATTTAACGTGAGATATGAATCATTGTCCCCAAAAATACGTAATTGGTTCAAGAATAAATTAATTTATAGTCTGATTAGTAGACTATAGCTACGCTTAGAAAAAAAGAGAGAAAATAAATAAAATACTGAATGTTATGACGTACACAGCGGGTCTTGGATGCTCATCAAATTTGGTTTTTCCTGGCTGTCTGTAAACTGTGAAGACAAAGCGATGATATCCTAAAAAAAAAAAAACAAAACAAAACAAAACAATTACGGACGAAAGATGAGAAGATATTCTATCTGAAAAAAAAACCATGACTGTTTCTTTGTCTTTGACCAAACGTGCCAAAACGACTCTGAGGGTGTAAGATGTTAGTCAGACATTATTTCTCTTGTTGAATACTTCCTGCATCATTACTCCTGAATGAATACATCCACAAGAATGAAGAGTTCCTCTAACAATGTTTTGAATTAAGCGGTAAAGACATAAGTAGATGAACTAACGACTTCTCTTAAGTTGAAAAGAGCTGACTTTGCAAGTTCAATAAACGCGCCAACCACCGTGACGGTCCGCGCGAAAAGCACTTTAGCGCCTACGAGACTGGGGGAATACTTCTCGCATTGCGCGTTCACTCACGCTTCAATGGTGAAAATTCGTAATTTCTCAGTACCAAACATACCGCAGTGTACACTATTTCCGATCAGATCACACCGCGAGCCTGCAATCTTAGGATCGAGATATCGTGGATATTTTGCATCCCCGAATGGCACTTAAGTCTATTATTGAGTCATTGACATCGGAATTCGTTTGTCTTTTTATCAACTATCGTTTAACAAAAACCTCTTTACAGTGCAAAGAACGACGGGTCCCTTCATCTTTCGTTATAGAGAGAGCTTACTGTATTTTGTCGCAACACTTGTAACAGCGACACTCCACGACAGGCAGCACAGCAGCTAGCATAACCTCTCATAGGCTCTTTACATGTACCCTGGGCCATGCTCCAGGGAGAGAAAAGACCCTCGATGCGTTGGACAAGGTATCAGTCAATACGATTCTTTTTTTCGACCTTGTAGACTGGAGCTTGATTTTTGGCAGCAGTGACCAAGGTTTAACATTTGTTTGAACGGCTCATGAAGATTGCTGTGAAAAATATGATTTTTTTTTTTCAAAGATTTAGACAAATCCACATGTTCACGTAAATGGATTGCAACGAGATAGAACGCTACCTTTGACCCACAGTTTGTCGCCGCATCCCTTTCCTTAGTGACTAAATCATTTTTAACATACCTGTGGAACGTGCAGCTTGATTTCCTAAGTATTCGCCAAGGACTTCTCCCTTATGGATGTCACAACCAGGGATGTTTACAACGAGCCAATGAAAATATTCTCTCAGAGTCGGCTTAGCTGGTCTAGGGTAGTCTGCGTCTAAGGTCAATTGTTTAGAGTGGAGGGGGAAAAAAATTTTGAGCAAAAATTATGAAAAGAAAAGAAAACAGAAACTAAATAAATATAATCTTAGTTAAGAGGCGATTTTTTTTATGAATTAAGCTCACTTACGGTAGCCTAAAAAAACACCCCTTTAAAAATACGTCGTATGACGACTATGGCGTCATCCACCGCGGTAATGCGTACCACGGTTTCTTCCATCTGGGATTTATTCGTGTTTTAAGCGCAGGAACCAGGGAAAATGTGTGTATCACTAATTGATGAACTCAGGGTCGAACTTTGGGTGGAATGCACCATCACGGTGGATGACGTCATATGCCGTATTTTTAGAAGGCTGTTTTTGAGGCTACCGTGAGTAAGCTTCATTCATAAAAAAAAAAAAAAAAAANAAAAAAAAAAAAAAAAAAAAAAAAAAAAAAAAAAAAAAAAAAAAAAAAAAAAAATTGCAACATGAATTTTGAAGGGTAGAATCTCTGGTAACATGGGAAGTCAACGCCTGGGGACGGATCATAATATTTTCACATATCTATAATCTGAAATAATCAAAAACAAAAATCTACGGCTATAGCGACTATCCTTTTTCTAATATTACATTTCGCTAGCAGTCTCTGTCACTTGAAATTAAAAAAAGGAAAAGAAACTGACAACGAATCTAGTAAAATTACTGTCCTTCGAAAGTTACTGCATTAGGAAAAAAAATTCCAATACCGGTCGTGACACCTCGAGAAATTCCTAAGGTCAATTAATTCTGAACTTTTTGATAGGTTTAATATTGATAATTCCCCTTTGTCCCATATGGCAAGCACGCAAAATTCAAGTTTCGCCTTAACATTGCGTTTGAATGAATGAGGTTTACGGCCGTGCTTTTAATCAATGTATCATAATTTCAATTTTAATTTATACGTCATTCAATCGCTTTTAACTGACTGCATTGCTCAGTTTTCAAAGGCTGATTTCATAAGTTTTTTTTGGCGCGTATACGTAGTATACCGCCTTTGCGATCGTTTCGACCCCCCCCTCGATACAATAACCGAGTCTCCTAGTTCCTTACCGAAAAGTGACTACCGCGAACTTCTGAGATTTTCCAAAGCGTGTAAAAAGTTTACTAATCCGTCAATAATAATGATTAAAATTTGTTTCTCATTCTGGGGCTCGCTAGTTTATGTGTAATGAATACCAAGAGTCTACGTTTCTTGGTTTTTTTTAAAAAAACCTTAGAATGGGGCGCGCTGATTTAAAATATGCATATATAAGCGGAAGCAAGCGAACTGATTCGAGGATGGCTGACCAGTTCGGCACTCCTTGAATGAGAATTTCACTCACTCCGTTTTGTTCACAACGTTGCTTTGACATATCTCCACAACACTGTTATCCTTTTCAAAAGTTGGTACTCCTTGCTCTGATAGCCGGGGCCACCAGGATAGTGGTAAGTGCAATCTGTGATGAGCCTCGAGACTCATTAGACCATTTGCTAAACGTGGCTCATACAGGAGTCCACTAAGCCCTCTCGTCCCCACGCTCCTGATCACTGCGTCGGCGTCACGAAGAACAATGGGCCTTGGGTCCCAACGCGGCCGATACCCGTACCCCAATTACTCACGCTTCATTAACCATTTCACCGTCACGCTAGGATTCATCCAATTTTCAAAAAAAA